GGATGGATGAACTGATGGATGGATGGATGGATGAATGGACGGACGGATGGATGGGTGGATGGACAGACAGAAACTGATGATTGGATGGATGGATTAACGGGTGAGTGGATTGATGGATAGGTGAACTGACATATGGTAGGGTGAACAAAGTAAATATAAACTGGTAAATGGGATGGATGGATGGATGGATGGATGAATGGATGGATGGATAAACTATAGGATGGATGGACGGGTGGATGAATGGACGGAGAGAAACTTATAATTTGTATGGATGGATTTTCTGATGAGTGGATTGATGAATAGGTGAACTGATATATGGTTGAGTGACCAAAATGAATACATAAACTGGTAAATGGGATGGATAGATGAACCGATGGATGGATAGATGGATGAACTAATGGATGGATGTTTGGTTGAAAAAAAGTTAATGATCTGGTGGATAAATGGATGCATGGATAGATATATGAACTGATGGATGGATGGATAAATTATGGATAGATAGATTAACTGATAGATGGATGGATGGATAGATATATAAATATATAGAATATATGATTAAATAAATTGAATAATGGACAGATAGTCATAAAAACTGATCAATTGATGAACTGATAGATGGGAGATGGAATGATGGATAGATGGATGGACTGATTAAAGAAAAAATGTATCCCCCCCCCCCCCATTTTTTGAATGAAATGTATCCTTGTATTCGCTTTTAAGTATAAAGCAAACTGTAAATTAATTTAGAAAGGTGTGTTATACATGTGCAATCCTCCATAATTGGATTTCTTTCCCCAGCCTAATCCCTGCAGAATGTTTTTTAAGGTAATTTGCAGACGAGCAAACAGTAGTATATCTTCAAACTGTAATTAATTTCTTCTCTAAACACTCATAAATGCTGTTAAACCCCACAGAGACTCTGTAACCACACAACCTGTTAACCGTTGGCTTATCATTGCTTTGACAGCAGATGCAAGAAACAGTGTTGAATTCACCTGATTAATTAGCATGACATTTGTGAGCAGGTTAACCTTCTTTTATTATAAACATGTTTGCCGCAGATGAGGAGGAAGTCCTTTCGAACCGAGATGTTTAATTAGCGATTCATTTGATGAAGCCATGTAAGCAGGGTAATTATCTCGCTATCAGCAATTATTCCATCATGCGATACAGCATCTTTGTGTTAGGATTTCAAGATGGTTCTAGTCACTCATCACAAAGCCTTGTTTTACTAAAATACCTCTGAGTGGATCATTTATGCTTTCAGCTCAAAGATGTAATGCGTCCATTTGGAGGTTGTTTTCTGGCGACAATTACTGTTATGCATTGTATGAGGAAATGATGTGGCCACTATCAACAATAGAGCTTGTCATGGGGACGTTTTTGAAATCTTTGTTCTTTGGATTGCATGTGTTTCAGCTCTTAGGTGGTTCTTGAAGTGCACAGTTGAATACCACAGTTTTCGTGTCTATTTTTACATTTCTTATGTATAGTATGTGGGTTGATTTGACGCATATACAACCAAATGATGTGTATCTGTCTTTGGGTCTGACTGGCAGCAGTTTTAACATTAAAGCAAATGTTGATGTATTCTGCTAGCTGTCAGAGAGCATCTCTCGCTTTCTCTTTCTCTCTCTCTCTCTCTCTCTCTCTCTCTCTCTCTCTCTCTCTCTCTCTCTCTCTCTCACTCACTCTCTCTCTCTGTCTCCCTCTCTCTCTTCATTAGGAGAGATAGCATCCTTTAGTGTCATGCTGTTGGAGGTGTGAGGTGAGGAGTTGGTCACATTGGCAGGACATTTGTGTGTTTGTTAGTCTGCTTTTGTGTGGGTGAGGGTGTCCGATGTCTGCATTGGTTAGGAAGGCTGCTTTTCATGTTTTTGACCTCTTAAAAAACATAAATAAATAAATAAAAGACAGTTTGCTAGTTCATGCGTTAAAGTTGTCTAGTAATATATGAATCAAGGTCAGTGACTCTCCTACCCTAAAGCTTTATATTTCTCTCCCCACTCTTACTGCTTTTCTCCCTCCATCACTGTTGTTTGACAGCTCTGTAGAGACAGGAATACAGCGTAGTTATGATTGAAGAGATGGCCCTCTGTCAGCATAGGTTTGATCTTGACGTTTCTTTTCTTAAGAAAATGTCAGCATTCTACATCTGTGCATAAATGAGTTTGCAGAGTGTTTTAGCATAGATTAATATTTAGATGTTGATGTGGAAAAAAGCGTTTGTATACAGTGCTCACCATAATTGAGTAAACCTCGTTTTGAAAAATTTATATTTTTCTCCATTTCTCAGTGAACATAGGCAAAGTATTTTGGTGTATTTAAACAAAACAGATTTAATAAACATTTTTTTTTCAAATTATATTTTAGTCACAAACATATTTTGAAATTTAAAGATAATACAAGTAAATTCAAGCAAAATATTGCAAAAAAATACAACCTACAATATTTTTCCTTTTTTTTTCTTTTTTTTTTTCTTTTTTTTGCTTTTCTTGATTTTCCCTCTTTTTAAAAAAAATTGTGTTTTATATTTTTCTATAACATGTCAATTTTAAGGTAAGGGTAATTAGGCAAGTTATTGAATAACGATGGTTTGTTCTCTAGACTATCAAAAAAAATATATATAGCTTAAAGGTGGCTAATAATATTGACCTTAAAATGGCTTTTAAAAAAATTAAAAACGGCTTTTGTTCTAGCCGAAATAAAACAAATAAGACGTTCTCCAGAAGAAAAACACATTATCAGACATACTGTCAAATTTTCTTGCTCTGTTAAACATCATTTGGGAAATATAAAAAAAGTAAATAAATAAATTCAAATGGGCCAATAATTAACTGTATATACATTCATAAAGCACTGCTTTTTGCTTTAATAACCAATATATGATTAGACTAAACAAATATCATGGATTTTTAAGATTGCTACTAGGGGTGTCAAAATGCATTGTTTTTATCGTGCATCATGATGGACACGAGGACAATTCAGTATTGTTTTAGTAATAGACCCAGTTTTGTAATATCTAGTTGTGATTTACAGGTGTTTTTATGATGCAATTTGTCACAGTAGCATTTTAAAAGGTATGGCAGGTGAGACAATTTGTGACAATTTGTGACTTAATATTTGTGACTTTGTATTTAATGACAAAACTGTATAAAGGAAAACTGACTGCACAAATTGATGCAGTACAGTTGAAGTCAGAATTATTAGCCTCCATTTGATTTTTTTTTTCTTTTTAAAATATTTCCTAAATGATGTTTATTGTTATACAAAGCAGGGACATTTTTATATTATTTCTTCTGGAGAAAGTCTTATTTGTTTTATTTCAGCTAAAATAAAAGAAAGTTTTAAATTTTTAAAAAAACATTTTAAGGACTAATTATCAGCCCCTTTAAGCTATATTGTGTTTCGATAGTCTACAGAACAAACCATCGTTATACAATAAGTTGCCTAATCCCCCTGACCTGTCTAGTTAACCTAATTAACCTAGTTAAGCCTTTAAATGCCATTTTAAGCTGTATAGAAGTGTCTTGGAAAATATCAAGTAAAATATGATTTACTGTCATTATGGCGAAGATAAAATAAATAAGCTATTAGAAATGAGTTATTAAAACTATAATGTTTAGAAGTGTGTTAAAGAAATCTTCTCTCCGTTAAACAGAAATTGGGAAAAAATAAATGGGGGCTAATAATTCTGACTTCAACTGTATATTTTCAGTGCATCTTGATGCATCATGATATCAAATGGATGCTATGTCTTAACCATTGTACTGTCGATTTTATACTCATTTGCTATATTATGGCTTACTTTTTTCTACTTATCATGATCGCTTGTTACATCACTTTAAACTAGGGGTTATATTCACTATCAGTTGGAGCTTTAACCAGTAATTGGCCTGAAAAGACATTCATTGAAGATCTGTCATTTTGCTTTAATATGTTGCGGTAATAAACACTTGTGGCATCACCCTTTTAAATAAAGCTGTAATGAGCATAAACAAAATAATATCTGTGCTTTTGTCTGCTAGGGCATTCATGATGCTGGCTAGAGTGTTGTTACATGGTACATGGATTGTTCTTAATGACTGATTGGAGGATGCTTGAGTACTGTATTCTGGTTTATTTGAACCTCTAATAAAGTAGCAAAATCCTTTTTATGCAAGCGAGCCCTCACATAAAAGCCTGTGTTATGCCATTTACGGCCTGACAAGTGTGGCATATTAAATGCATGTACAGCACATTTCATTTCACACAAGAGCAGCAACAGCAGCCAAGTTAAGAATTGGCTCTTTCCAATCGTAATGTGAAAAGCTCCATAAAGCAATGATGTTTTGTGTTGGGTAAAAGGGCAGCATTATTCAAAGGTGAGAAAAACCACGTCAATTAAATTGTTGTGCGACTTTGACACACACCCTATACAAGCTAAAGTGAAAGTGACAAGGCTTGGCTTAAAATCACTTTATTTTTCTAGCCTCATGTTTTTTGCATGACACATAGCACCTTTTGCCCCACATAATGTCTAAGATTAAGTGATTTGATGAGGTCTCTAGAGGAAGAGCCATGCCATTAATCGAATAATTGATCGCACATCCATTTGCAGCTTTCTAATTGGCTTCTGAATGCTCGTGAGCCCCGGATTTAATACCCAGGTGTTTCAGTTCTCTCTGAGGAGTCTGCAGTCTGACCTCCAGTTATTGAGAAAAGCGCTGAAGTGTTTGCGTTTAGTTGTTACTGTCAAACTGCAAGAGCCCGTGTCATTCAGCCCTGCCACAGCCTTTTCACTGCGTCTGCCGTATTCTGTGGTAAATCAGATAAGAGCTTTTGTAACATCTGTCATATTGTTACAAATGCCAATCATAGAGGAGGTGGACGCCTCATGAATAAACCCACCTGTTGAATTATGGATGTCGAGGAGTGAATCGTGATACATTCTTGCCTTCTCTCTGTGTGTGTGGTGACTAATGCTCTCTTTCTCGTCGCTCTTCTCTCTCTCTCCCTAGGCCTTTTCCATCAGAGGACACTGCACTGAATGAAGATGATGTGTACCGGAGCTTGGAGGAGCTGGCAGAGTAAGTGTTTAAATCATAGAAAGTGAGATTAATGGCCATTAGCATAAAACAAGGTGGGTTTAAGCCAAATTGTTTGGGACTGAAGGGTTTACATAATCATTCTGCCATTTTAACCATTTAAGGTGTATTTGAGGTCAGTGTCTCTTACAGTTACAGTTATAGGTGCATTATTTTGAGATCATTTTGTGGTGGTAAAGCTTAGTAATGTTCTCAGTGTTGATTGGTGTTTGAACACATTTGTTTATGATTACTGCAGGGGATTAGAGATTTCTGCTATGTATTTTCTCATGTATGTCAGCACTAATCCTTGGAATTAATATGATTAAAATGTTACATTTTAGTTTGTAAATGTCATCAGTAAGACAAAATGTTGTGAGATTTTTATACATGTGTCTAACAAATGCTTTAGCTTTGTGCTCATTTGAGGACTACTACATTGCAATTCATAGATTGCCATATTGAAAAACATGGTGCCGCATGGTGCACTGTAAAAAAAATTAAGTCATTACAACAACAACAAAAAAACATAATACTCATTTTCTTTCGCTTTTTCTTGTTCACTCAACTTTTGAAAAGATCAGCTGCACTGACCATTTAATTAAAACATTTAGTTGGGTTAACATGTTGTGAACTACTCTCCTACTCTCTTACAAAACTTTTTATATTGTGCCAACTGATATTTTTTGTCTACAGAACTTTAATGCCTGAAGTTTTGTGAAACAAAAAAAGCATAATCCTTATTTCTTTTTGTTTTTTCTCGTTCACTCAACATTTTTTGTTCTATTATTTTTACACCATTAATTGATAGGATGGTAGAAAGTAAAGACAGGAAAGTGTGGGGACGAAGAGAGGGGAAGATCGGCATAGGACCTCGAGGTAGGAATCGAACTTGGGTCGCTGTGAAGTGAAGTGCTATGTGTCAACACACTAACCTACACCATTGGCACCAACGTGTACTTTTGAAAACATCTGAAGTTGAGTAAAAAAAAAAAAAAACTCTTGGCACTTTATACTAGGAAATAATACATTGTCAGATCAAACAGTTCAGTTGAAAAAAAAAACTATAACAAAACGTTAACAAAATATTTATTAGACAGAATTAGAAACAGGACACCCGGTAAAACAACAATAATGGTAAACAAGGATCAAAACATTGCAGGACAAACAGGGAAAAATGCTTTGTGATGCTTCACATGTGAATCATGCCTTCCTGTTTTTTAATTGTTTAATTTTTTTAACTGTTGTCAGCTTCAGACATTGGGTCGACACATTTCACTACAGTCTTCACAGTGACCTGAGTTCAAATCCTGCTTAAGGTTCCATGCCGATCTTTCCTCTCTCCTCTCCCCACGTTTTCTTGTCTATACTCTATTGTTTTATCAATTAAAGGTAAAAAATAAATAAATAAATAAATAAAAAATAAAAATAAATGTTGAGCACACAAGAAAAAACTAAAGGAAATAAGGATTGTTTTTTTGTTGTTGTACTGACTTAAAACTTTTTACAGTGTGGCTATAGGTAAGCACACACGTATGCTCCAGAGTAAGCCTTTGCGCAGTCGCAGCTGACACGCAACTCTCTAATATGTTACTACAAGTCGCAACAATGCATAGTGCAAGCTCTGTGATTGGTCGGCTTGGTAGCTGTGGCCAGTGTGGGCAGGACTGAGAGCCATGCGAACCAGTTGGAGTGAGTGTTCAGTGTCGAGTCACGTAAAGTAGCTCTAGATAGAAACTGTTGTTTTGTGTTTACCTTATAACTATGTTGTCGCACGTCTGTCGGTTTCCACCTCACAATGAGCAAGTTTTAAATACTTTTACATTCAGGTAACCCACAAAGAAACATGACACAGAGGAACATAAAAACTTGCTGCCAGCTCACGTTTTGGAAGTGTTATTGCAGAGCAACACAAACAGCACGCAGAAGTATAAATGCATGACTACGCGCAAGGCAGGCGCTATGGGTCACGCCGATGACTTGATGCAGAAGTATAAACCAGCCTTTAGTGGTTAGCACTGTCACCTCATAGCAAGAAGGTTGCTGGTTTGAGTCCCGGCTGGGCCAGTGGAGTTTGCATGTTCTTGTGGGTTTCCGTGGGTTTGCTCCAAGTGCTCTGGTTTTCCCCATAGTCTAAAGACATGCGGTATAAATAAATAAGAGTGTATGGGTGTTTTCCAGCACTAGGTTGCGGCTGGAAGGCCATCTGCTGCTTAAAACATATGTCAGGTAAGTTGGTGGTTCATTCTGCTGTGGCAACCCCTAATAAATAAGGGACTAAGCCGAAGGAAAATGAATGAATGAATGAATGAATGAATGAATGAATGAATGAAAAAGTTTAAGGTAGCAATAGCAATGTCCTATTTCAGACTTAGCATTCCAGTCATGCTACTTGAGATTCTCTGACCTCCACCTGAAGATACCCAGTGGACCACTGCTTTAGTCAGTGCCATCTCTGAACCTGTCAAATGACAATGTCAGTGAATCTGCACAGACTTTCTGAAAGTTAGATGTCCTACTGTGCTGTTCCGGTGGTTATTTTCAACTGTCAGTTGTGAAAAGTCCAAGTTCTATGGAGTGAAGAATTAATTAGTAAAGTATATAATTGGTACAAATAGACAGGCAGTAAACCTTAAGGTTCCCATGGCTTGAAGCATGGCAAGCTGGTATTATGGGTGCTAAGAAGAGTGAGAGAGAGGCTGAGGGGAGGGGGTTGTGACAGTGGTGACAGGCCCGATTCCTCTCTGATTAATTGTGAATAATTAGGCAGCAGGGTGGATAGGTGTCATTCATCAGCAGAGGACGACCTGACAGAGATGTGTTAGTGCAGGCTGCATATATTAAACCTCTCAATGTCTGTTAGAAACTTCTGTGGAGCTGTAAATAGAGATGAGCTTATTTTACAGCCCTAATGGCCTCAATTTATTAGCATACCAAAGAAACATAGCTTGTGTACGTGTTGTTTTGAGCCATTTTAAAGTGAGGGTAGGCTATGTTTAATTCAGCACAAACAAAAATAAGGCCATGGGGAACCAGAGTGCAGTCTGTCAGTGTCATTCCATCTTAAAGTCTTGGGCAATGCCTTATTGTCACTGCTATGTTTTGTTGGAGGGTTTTTACTGGGCATTACAACATGACTGTGGAGGGGGATCAGGAAATGAGGTAGGCTAAATTTGAACAGGACTAAAGATTAGAGACTAGAGAATAGAGAATAAAGACTACAACAATGTACAGTTAGAAACAGAACTATTAGCCCACTTTTGATTTTTTTTTTTTCTTTTCAAATATTTCCCAAATGATGTTTAACAGAGCAATGAAATGTTCACAGTACGTCTGATAATTTTTTTTTTTTCCTCTGGAGGAAGTTTTATTCCTATAAGTCTTAAATTTGTTTTATTTCAGCTAGAATAAAAGCAGTTTTTATTTTTTTTAAAAACAATTTTAATGTCAAAATTTTTAGCCCCTTTAATATATATTTTATTCTGTTATACAATAACTTGCCTAATTACCCTAACCTGCCTAGTTAACCTAATTAACCTTATTAAGCCTTCAAATGTGACTTTCAGCTGAATAAAAGAGTCTTGAAATATATCTAGTAAAATAGTATTTACCGTCATCATGACAAAGATAAAATAAATCAGTTATTAGAAATGAGTTTTTAAAACTATTATGTTTAGAAATGTGTTGACCAAATCTTCTCTCCGTTAAACAGAAATTGGGGGAAAATAAACGGGTGCTGATAATTCAGGGGGGCTAATCATTCTGACTTCAACTGTACATATGTAGCTATCAATAGATATAACTGCTTTGATATTTGCGTAAATGTTTGCAACTGTAACTTGTTTTTCCTTTATTTCAATGAAAAAAAAAATAGTTGCAGGTCATACTACTGTTTCACCAACACTAATGCCTCAAAAGCACCAGAAATGCAGTTTCTATTTCCTGTTTCTATAAGATTTGGTTATATTAGATTTAACTTAATTGACATTACATATGTAATATTACAAGGCAACAAAATACAGTTTAGGTCTAACCAGGGGCACAATAGCAGCAAATACAGATAAATGTATCATGAATATTATAAACAGGTTGTAATACAGTAGCTATGATCAGGGATTTACAATGATTGAATACATGTGCAGATATGTACAATTCAAGATCTGTTTGTGATTTACACGCTTGTGAAGGTAAAAAAATAATATCTAAAACATTTTTAATAATAATAGTAATTTTTATCAGGTTATCAAGTTAATAATTCTCTTTGCATCAATTAATCTATTTTGTAGAATGCTGTTTTTATGGGGACTTTGTGATGATAAATCTATCTCTGAATAGGGTCTATTGCTGCAGGGTGTCAGCAGGGTCTTAAAATGTCTTAAAACTCAAAAACAAAACTTAAGGCCTTAAAAAGTCTTAAATTTGCTGAAACATTAGGTTTTAGGTCTTAAATCTTTTTTAAACAGGTCTTAATTTTTCTTTATTCATGCATCATGCACTCAATCTGGCCATCACTATCATTCCACCTGAATAAAACTTTAAACTTTTTTTTAAATGTTATTTTTAACTATTTTTAACTATTTTTAACTGTTTTAAGTATTTTCATTACAATACCATTTGTTTAAAAGTTCTCGATGTATTTACTGCTGAAGACACTGACCTGGACAGATATTTGTGCATATATTTAGTTTATTATTGCTTTAAAAATGTTTTAAATCTTTTATTTTAAAGTAAGGTTATGCTAAAAACAAGTATGTGTGTATATCTTAAACATTCAACTTGATTAATAATCATAAAGACATAAGAAAGGATATGTGTTACTCCATCCATCAGAAAATACACACCATAGACATGTACAGTTGGAGAACATATTAAAGTAAAGATTGTTTTTTAATGTGTTATTTCCAAAAATTCCTCGTCTGTCATCTAACTATATAATTTTACTTTAATGACTTACATCAGCGTAAATTCACAAAACATCAGTTTTCAATCCATTATCCAAATAT